TCAAGACAAAAATAGTAATGCAGTTTTTGGGTCATGGTTTCACAAGATTTTTGAAGAGTACAAGTATCTTATTGTAAGATGTTCCTAGAAGTCCTAAAGACAGACAGAGTGGCTAGGAAAATAAATTTTTTAAAACCTGACATTTTAAAATTTTAGTAGCAAAGTGAAGGAATGACAGGAGAAAGAGAAGGGTGCAGACAAGTTCACTGGTACAGACTGACTTTGAAGAACATGTTTAGAATTCTGACTGCCTTCTAATAAAGTGAAATATTATGGGCATAACTACATATCTTGTTGAGTATGATGAATGAAGAGGCAAGATTGGAGGTGGATCAAAAATGCATGTTAAGAAGTTGACCTGGTAGTTGTATGCAGCACACTTTGACATTAGAAGTTGAGAGGAAGAGAGTTCTAAGTACAGGAAGGTTCAAAGGCTATCCTTGAAAAATTACACAATGGGCTCAATCACAGACTATGAAAAAATTGCTGAGACCATCTGACCCTCACTCAATTTCAAAGTCCAAAGTTATTTGTGAGTGTATAACTGGTAGCCTTAATAGACATAGTTCCAAGCTGAAGACCAAATTATGAAAAGTTAACCTGTTCAATAACATAATCAACTCAGGAAAATACATTTTTAACTATTTCATCTATATGGGTTTAAAATTATTAATAGATCCTTATTGTGTTATCTTAGCTTATTTGGGAACTCCTTGATTCTAAATTTTGGTTTTAATAATGAAGTTATCAAAACAAAAAGAACAATCAGAACTATTTTACTTTGGGTGCAGACACAACAGCTGGCCTGCAGACCAGGCCCTTTAGTATGTGCTTACAGTTGGCTGACATAGTAGCTGTTTATAATTTTTTTTTTTTATTGAACTTATTGGGGTGACAATGGTTCATAAAATTATATGGGTTTCAAGTGTCCAATGCTATATCATCGGTGTATTGTCAAAGTCTCTTCCTTCACCATTTATCCCTGTTTTTCCCTTTACTACTACCTTCCCTCCCCTTTCCTTGTGGTAACCACCACACTGTTCTGTTTTTCTCTTTTTGCTATTCCTTCACCTTTTTCACCCAGCCCCCCAAGTCCCCTCCCTCTGACAGCTGTCTGTCTATTCTCTTTATTCTGTACTGCAATGGCTAGAATTAAACCACTTTAATTTGTTCTCAGCTTCATTTCTCTATTCTCACAAGCCTTCAATTTAATAACTTTCTGACCTGAATTAGGTTGAAACTGGAGCAAAAGACAGACTGTGGTTTTTGTGAAGGAATCCTACCCACTACTCTTATTATTTTTTAAAGTGCTGGGTAGTCCCTCAACTTTCACAATTTCAAAAATTGTTTTTTGACTTTTTAAAAGGTTCTATCCTATGAAAAAGAGCAAATTGGTTGATATAGATATTTTCTCACTCTGTAAGCCACAGGGCAGTGCCCACTGTGCAGATCTGACTTATTAGCCAGACACAATGTTCAGGGTGCTCTGAAGGGGATCGCTCAGGGCGACTCACATCTTCCTATCTGCCTTTTGGCTCTACTGCCTAACACTAAGGATTAGGATTTATAAATGTTGAATCACTATGTTGCACACTTGAAACTAATATAATATTGAATGTCAACTATATTTTAAATTTTAAAAAAATGAATGCAATGCCATGTTAGACAAAGGGAAAACCTGTGTCCAGAAACAGAGTTTAGACTGTTGTTAAGTCAGGGAAGATAAGGACTGAAAAACTCAGGCACACATAGATCCTTGATCATGATAGTATTATAAATGCTCTTTTGGCAGTTTGACCAAGGCCAAAGGTATATTGGAGCAGTGGAAGAGTTAGAGGAGTGATTAAGTAGAGATAAGATATAGATTACCTTTCTAAGATGTTTGGCTATGAAAGGGAAGTGATGAAAAAAAGACGAGAATCTCGGGAGGTTTCTACCTGTTGTGATTGTTTTTAATATAGAAGAGACTTGAACACAGGAAATGCTATGAATGATTGAGATGGTGAATTTGAATATTTATGAGGAAGAAGAAACAATAATGAAGTTTCCTGAGAAAGTGAAAGTATACTGACACCAAACAAATTAATAAAAACCTATTTGTCAACTTAGCAAAAGAAAGATAAACAACCCAATCAAAAATGGGCAATGGACCTAAATACTTTGGGAAAGAGGACATAAGGAAGACCAAGCGACATATAAAAACACACTAAGTTACTAAACATCTGAGAAATACAAATCAAAATGACAATGCAGTACCATCTCACACCTGTCAGAATGGCTATTATCAACAAATTGACAAGTGCTGGTGAGGATGTGGAGAAAAAGGAACCCTCCTGCACTGCTGGTGGGAATGCAGACCGGTGCAGCCACTGTGGAGAACAGTATGGAGTTTCCTCAGAAAACTAAAAATGAAGCTCCCATTTGACCCATGATCCACTTCTAGGAATATATCCCAAGAAACTAGAAACATCAATCAGAAAGGATATATGAACCCTTATGTTCATAGCAGCACAATTCACTATAGCTAAGATTTGGAAACAGCCTAAATGCCTATCAGCAGATGAGTGGATTAAAAAACTGGAACAGCCGAAACTGTTTTGGTTCAGTGGATAGAGTGTCGGCCTACAGACTGAAGGGTCCCAGGTTTGATTCCAGTCAAGGGCATGTTGCGGGCACATCCCCAGTGGGGGGTGTTCAAGAGGCAGCTGATTGATGATTCTCTCTCATCGGTGTTTCTGACTATCCCTCTCTCTTTCTCTTTTGTAAAAAAATCAATAAAATATATTAACAAAAACAACTGTGGTACATCTACACAATGGAATACTACACTGTGGTAAAAAAAAAAAAAAAAAAAGAAGGAATTCTTACCATTTGCAACAGCATGGATGGACGTGGAAAGTATTATGCTAAGTGAAATAAGCCAGTCAGAAAAAGAGAAATATCACATGATCTTGCTCATTTGTGGAATATGATGAACAACATAAACTTATGAACAAAAACAGATCCAGAGACAGAGAAGCATCAATCAGACCTTCAAACCTCAGAGGGAAGGTAGGGGAGGGGAGAGGTAAGGGGTAGAGACCAACCAAAGGACTTTTATGCATGCATATAAGCCTAACCAATGGACACAGACAACAGGGAGGTGAGGGCATGGGTGGGTGGGGGTGGGGTGAATAGGGAAATAAGGACACATATGTATTATAATATCTTAATCAATAAAGAAAAAAATAAAAATAAAATAAAAAACCTATATGTGCCTGGCTGGTGTGGCTTAGTGGTTGAGCACTGACTTAAGAACCAGGAAGTTATGATTCAATTACCAGTCAGAGTACATGCCTGGGTTGCAGGCTCAGTCTCCAGTAGGCAGTGTGCCGGAGGAAGCGAATCAATGATTATCTCCCATCCCTTGGGGGATGTCTGACTGCCGGTTTAGGACCAATCCCTAGATGGATCCTAAACTGGCAGTCGGACATCCTTCTCACAATCGAGGACTATTAGCTCCCAACTGCTTGCCTACCTACCTGCCTGCCTGATTGCCCCTAAGGTGACCAGATGTCCCACTTTTGATGGGAAAGTCCCGATTTTTAACAATTTGTCCCAAGTTCCGCAGCGTTTTTAAAAAATCCCGATTTTTGGAAAGAATGCACGACAAACTAGGGAACAGCGGGAGAACAGGAAGGGAATATACGGTTTTCGGAGGCCATGTGGCTATTTAGCCAGGATATGAGTTTTATATTATTTTTGTTAATTTTATAATGTTAAACTTTAATAATAACAAATAATTGTTGAGAACTGATTATGGAGAACTGCTTATCAAAGTTCACATTGTTGGTCAGTTGTTAGAATTCGACCACCATTGTTTGGACTTAACGAACAATGGCATTTTTGGGGATTGGCAATGACAAAAACATTTTGTAACTGTCTCTCAGACGATACACATTGTACTGCTTGCTATTAATCTAGTTAAACAAGTGATATCATTAAAAATCAGCTATTCGGATAATTTAGATAAGTAACTTATTTATTTATTTCATAAATACATAAATTTTCTTGAATTTAGCAGACAGTACTTGTATTATTTATATTTTATAGTGGTGGCAAAAGTCTAGTGCCCGCCTTGAAGTGACACAACTATACATAATCTTTTTATTTATTATATTTGTAAATTGTACTTATGTTGAAATTTTAAAAAATATATTACAATACTATTTTTGCATTCTATGAAAATTTTTGTTGCTCCAAATAGATCAAATTTTTAATCAAGAACCCCCCCCCCCATGCCGACACCAGTTTGGCTCAGTGGTAGAGCGTTGGTCTGCGGACTGAAAGGTTCCGGGTTCGATTCCCGTCAAGGGCATGTATCTGAGTTGCAGGCACATCCCCAGTGGGGGGTGTGCAAGAGGCAGCTGGTTGATGTTTCTCTCTCATCAACGTTTCTAGCTCTCTCTCTCCCTTTCTCTCTGTAAAAAATCAATAAAATATATATATTTTTAAAAAGAACCTCCCCACCCCCAGGTCAATGATGCCCTGCTTTACCAATGTTAAAACCTGGTCACCATACCCTAACCACTTCTGCCTGCCAGTTGAATCACCCCTAACCACTCCCCTTCCAGCCTAACTGCTCCTCTGCCGTCCTAATTGTCCGATAGCCCCCAACTGCCCTCCCCTGCCAGCCCGTTCACCCCTACCTGCCCTCCCTGCTGGCCTGGTCACCCCTAACTGCCTTCCCTTGCCAGCCTGGTCATCCCAACTGCTCTCTCCTGTAGTCCTGGTCACCTCTAACTGCCCTCCCCTGCTGGACTGGTCACACACAATTGCCCTCCCTTGCTGGCCATCTTGTGACCACATGGGGTTGGACATCTTGTGTAAGAGTGTGATAGTCAATTTGCAAATTATATAGGATTGATGTAAACATTAAAATTCTAATATTCCTAAAGTTATATCATACCATATTATAAAAAATATTATATTTAATGACTTCGTATGAAAATATATTCACCTAAAGAATAACAATAATTTCACTTTACAAAAGACAGTAATATAAATGTAAGGAAACAAATTGGCATTTTTGTGATACATTCAAAATTATTATGAGAGATTAAGTTAATTTGGTTAAATTTTGTCAAAATTAATTAAACTAGAATTTCAGAATTACCGTCTGGATATGAAGGAATATTGTGACCATCTTTCAAAGTTATTTAAGATTATCCATATAGTACTTTGATTAGTTTAGCTACTACATGTACGTTGAGACTATTTCCAAGTAGTCGATAACGCTGTTTCACTGTTATATTCTCAGGAAATCCTAGAAAAGAGAGATAACAATTTGTAACACAATCATTTGTATTAACTTCAGAGATAAAAGGATATATCCTTTAGTAAGAGTACAGTGATCATTTACATAAATAAGTTCTTAAGGTCTCCACAAAGTTCAATTAACAAATGAGAATTTAGAGATTTAGAGCTAAAAACATATGTAAGAGTACCTTGTACACACAATGTGATGTTGTAATATCCCATATCATACTATGCGCTGTGCCCACACACATATATATAACATCCACAGTACTCCTAGATATTTGGATATTAGTATATTTTAGGAAAAACAGTGGCTAACATTATTTCACAATGTCTTATTTAATAACAGGTTTTTGAAGATACAATTCACATTCTATAAAAGTCACCCTTTTAAAGTGTACAATTCAATGGTTTTTAGTATAGTCACAAATTTTGCACACATCTCCATTATAATTCTAGAACCTCTTGTTGTTAATCTTCACCTGAGGATATTTTTTCCATTGAGTTTTAGAGAGTGGGAGGCACAGAGGGGGACAGAGAGAAAGATGCAGGGGGTGGGGGTGAGAAAACATTGATATGAGAGAAACACATAGATGAGTTACCTCCCAACTGAGCCTAAGCCAGGGCTGGGGATTGAACCTGCAACTTAAGTGCATGCCCTTGACTGGAAATGTGACCTTTTCATGCATGGGCAGATGCTCTAACATCTGAGAACACTTGCCAGGGCAATTCCTGAACATTTTAATCATCAATTCCAGAACATTTTAATCATTCCATCCCAGTAGGATCAGGCCTAAACACGCAGTTGGACAGCCCTCAAGGAGTCCTAGATTGGAGAGGGTGCAGGCAGGGCTGAGGGACACCCCCTTCCTCCGCCCCCCTCCCCCCAAGAATTTTGTGTACCGGGCCTCTAGTCCTATCTAATAAAAGAGTAATATACAAATTGACCATCACTCCAACACACAAGGTGGCCACCCCCATGTGTACACAAGATGGCTGCCACAAAATGGCCAGCAAGGGGAGGGCAGTTGGGAGGGATCAAGCAGGGGAAGGCAGTTGTGGGCGATCAGATGCCCAATGCAGGAGCTATCCCTGGTGATCAGTGCACTCCCACAGGGGAAGCACTGTTCAACCAGAAGCCAGGCTCACGGCTGGCGAGTGCAGTGGTGGTGGCAGGAGCCTCTCTCGCCTCAGCATCAGCGCTAAGGAGCAGAAAGCCAAGGAGCAAGGAGCAGCGAGCAGGCAGGGGGTAAGGAGCGAGGGGTCCCAGACTGCGAGAGGGCACAATCCGCACAGGCCACACGGGCCTCTAGTTTCATATAAATGGAACCATACAATGTGCTGCTTTTGTGTCTGGCTTCTTTCACTCAGCAAAATGTTTTCAAGATTCATTTATGTTACAGAATGTAATACTTCATTCCCCTTCTATAGCCAAGTAACATTCTGTTGTATGGATATACTACATTTTATTTATCCATTCATTCTGTTGATAGAAGTTGTTTTTTTCCCCCTTTTTAATTATTATAAATAAAGCGGTTATGAACTTTTAAGTATACACATTTGCGTGGACATTTATTTTTCCTTCTCTTGGATACCTATAGGGGTGAAATTGCTGGGTCAAACAAAAACTCTATGTGTAACATCTGAGAAAGTGTCAGACTGTTTTTCCAAAGTGGCTGTGCCATTGATATTCCCATCAGCAATATGCAAGTGATCCGATTTCTCCTCGTCTTTTTCAGCACTGTTACTGACTTTTTTGTGAAATGGTATCTATTATAGTTTTGATTTACATTTCCCTTATAACTAATGATGTTGAACATCTTTTCATGTGCTTATTGGCCATTTGTCTACCTTTTTCAGAGAAATATCTACTCAAATCCTTTGTCCATTTTAAAATTTGATTATTTTTCTTTTTATAGTTGAGTTGTAAGAGTTCTTTATATATATTTAGGATACAAGTTCCTCACAGATGATTTTTTTATATTGTGCTTCCACAAATGAACTTTCTTATGTGAACTTCTATTTGCTACATTCTTTTTCAAAACAAAATGGCCCGCGGGTACTACATTTGCTGGAACAAAGCCTTGTGAGTATCAACATAAAAGATTATATATGCCTCAGAGTATAGAGCATGTTAGTTACAATGTTAGAAATTCACATTCAGTAGCTTTTGGCATCGGAATTATATCAAAGTAAAGCAAGTATATAATAAAATTAAGGGAGGCAGGGTGGGGAGTAGAGATTAGAGATTAACCAGAGAATTTATATGCACATATGCATAGTCCATGGTGAAGGCCTGGGAGGCGCCAGTGTGGAGTTGGTCCATGGGAAAAAGAAAAGAAAAAGAAAAAGAAAACAAAGGAGACATCTGTAATACTTTCAACAATAAAGATAACTTTTTAAAAAAATTATATAAAAAAAATCAATAGAAAATACAATAAAAAAAGGATAGCAGCATTTCATATATTTGTGAGGACCAAAAGGTGGGTAGATCTGATTAGGGTAAAGTTGCTTCATCAACACTTGACATTATATTTACTACAATAAAATAACATTGATTGCCATAGTAAAACTATATTTGCAATTGAGCATAATAATAAAATTGCTATTATAAAGATAATATGTCTTAGTCAAGTATATTAGTCATCTCAAAAATTAGTAAGTTCAAAGTATTCAGAGGTACAAATATACCTAAAAACAGACTTTTAAAATATTGTAAGGATGATCTTTTGCAATATAAATTTGAGAACAAGTCAGATTTGTAAAAATTATATATGTCTGTGTATTTTATATCTAAATTTAGATATTAAAATCTAAGCTAGCTATGGAAAGATTACATAATTTTTAAAAGGTGTCTTTCAAAAAACTTAGATGCATTAAAAATAATAATCCTCATAGACAAAAAATATTAAAAAAAAAAAAAAGAATAGAATGAGGTCAAGTTAGCAGCTTTCCTTTACTAAGTGTAGATGAGTGTTCCCCTCTTCCAAAGCCTGCTCTCTCACAAATGCATACCCCTAGTCAGTCACAAAGAGAACCAGGACAAATGTACGGAAAAGTCAATGCACATCCATCATTGCCAGAGGACAGGCAGCTCACACAGTACCCATTTTGGACCCAGAGTCAATAAAGTCAAAAGCGCATGGGAAGGACAGTTCTGTCATAGTGCTGCTCAGTGGTGACATCAAGGCAAGTCTGACTATACAAACAGATCACATATTTGAAAAAAAGTTAACCAATGAAAAAGGCTTTTGTTTTTTATGTATCCTATAAATATATTTCCGAAGAACTATGAAAAAAAATCTAATTTTACCCATCTAAAATTTTTGAATAAAGAGAAAAAAATCTTTACAAAGTAAAGGCTATAAAAAATAAAATGTTGATGATTTAAAAAATAAAGGCTGGCCGAAACCGGTTTGGCTCAGTTGATAAGAGTGTCAGCCTGCGGACTGAAAGGTCCCAAGTTCGATTCCGGTCAGGGGCATGTCCCTTGGTTGTGGGCACATCCCCAGTGGGGGGTGTGCAAGAGGCAGCTGATTCTCTCATTGATGTTTCTACCTCATTATCTCTCTCCCTTCCTCTCTATAAAAAACAATAAAAAATATATTTAATAAATAAATAAATAAATAAATAAATAAAGGCTGATACTTAAAAATTTTATATTATGTGTCAGGGTGTAAACATTTTACAGATACTAACTTGTCACAACAACCCTATGAATTTGGTGCTGCAATTATCCCCATTTTATAGATGTGTAAACTAAGGCAGAGAGTAATTAAGGTACAGCTAGATTCAAACTCAGACACTGGGGTACATGATTAGTTTCAATAGTATAAAACTGATGAGTATTATTTTAAAAAGCTCTCAAATAAAACAGGAATTATTTGTTATTACATAATAAATCTCTTTTCTCCCTTTAGTACTGTTGAAAATACCTTTGATTGTTCATTGTAAAAAAAAAAAAGAAAGAAAGAAAGAAAGAAATAACAAGGAGAGCAGACTGGGAATTCTTGAGTTTAGCTCTCAGCTCTTTGTTTTATGATGTTCTCATTCATTTTGTGACATAAACTAAGACAGGAAAGTCTATGTTTTTCTTAAACAACACTCCCCAGGACATTTGTGACTGAATGAGATCACCGAGAAAAAAGTGGACTACAAAATAAACCTGGTTGCTGTGACTATGCTCAGAAAATCAATTACCAAGAGGGTAGTCAAACTGCACTAGCAGTTTGTTACTCTGCACAAGAGGATGTGCTCTAAAACTTCATCTGTAAATCCATTATTTAGAATTTAAAACATGATCTATTTATCCCATTTTGTGCTTCAAGAATAGTACTGTATTATTATTATAATGTTAGATTTAGCAATGCTTCTCTGCATTCAAACTTCAGAGCCATCAAAACACATTCCCTCCTGGGATAGCCCTGGAAGCACATTAAGGAGGTCTGTCTTCCCCCTTCACGAGAGCCAGGTACTGGGAGCACAGCCACCCCAGCCTCAGACATGCCATCCATGCAGGGCAGAGCACAGGTGCCACAGCCTCAGACATGCCATTCATACAGCAGAGGGCACAGGAAGAAGGACCAGGAAGAGAAAGGGCTTCTCTAAGAAGTAAAGGCAATGTGTCCCCATCTCTTAATAGCAACAGCCCCTAGAACTCCCAGACTGCGAAGAGTTAGGACTTTGTCTTCCTCTACAGCTGTATCTATTTTAGTTTTATTCCTGCGATTCCTTGCATCAGATCCCCTAATTTTCATAGCTTCTGGCACCTGTGTCCTGAGTCACCCTTTCTTTCCATTAGGACAGCTCCTTCTGGATGCTTCTCCACCTTCTCTTTTCTCCACTTAAACTTTGTAGGAAAGGACATAAGCGCATGAGTGATAAGAATGGATCTTTGAATGCAAAAATAATAAATAAATTCATCAACCTCCTTTTAATTTCTTCATAAAAAAGACAATTCTAGGCATTTTTTTCACACAATCTAATGTTGGGTTATTATTAAAACAGGACCACTGGGAGCAAGAAAATAAGCTGGAGAAAGATACTATTAACATCCATCCATGAAGGAGGCAGGAAATTGCTGATTTGGCTCCCTGTTCCTGAAAATCACTCAGGACCATAACCGGAGGGAAGGGGAAGGGACACATGTCTAAAGGGACTGGTCTGAAGCAGGCTATAAATGAACATGAAAGGCGAGGAAAGAAATATGTCAATAATGGCACAATCAGGAAAGAAATAAGGTTTCTTACATTCATCTGTCTAAGCAAAGATTTCTTCATAAAATACACATATGAGTCCCTAATGAATTTGGGGATCTTTAACAAAAGCTGATATTTGCATGTATCCCACATACCAAATTCTGGAGGAAATCCAAGAAGATTTGCAATTTCTTTAGGAGTAAAATATCGAAGTTTAAGCATTAACAATTTTGTTATCTTTTCTTCTTGTGACAAATTGGTAAGAGATTTGTAGATATTCTCAATCTGTAAGAAAAGCCCCAAGATAACTGATAAAGTATACTGCAATTAGATTTGTTAAGACAGACTTTCAAACTATAGTGGGAAGGCGGTGTGTGTGTGTGTGTGTGTGTGTGTGTGTGTGTGGAGGGGGGAAGGTCAATGGGGATAAAAAAAAAAAGACATGTACTACTATTTATAATACCTTAAACAATAAAATAAATAATAAGTTCTTTCTGCTTACAAAAAAAAAAAAAGAAGGAAAGAAGAAAAGATCACCTTTTGTGAGACAGTTTAAAAACGATAGAATGTCTGCTATAACACATGAACAGCACAGGACAAAATGTCTCTTCAATAAACTACATAATTGGCTCATCAATGGCAATATAAACTTCGAAAATGAACAAAAGCTCAATGTTCAACAGATCAGGATACTTGCAATGTATCTGTCATTTTTGATTTCTCAAAATTAAATTAGAATATAAATGATAAAAGACAATATAACAAAAAATAGAGGAAAATATTAAAAAAAACTTGATCAATGAGGTCAATTTTATGTTTAACAGATACATCATTGAAATGTTTACTGTTTATTATCAATTTCATAACATTTTCTTAAAATAATAAAATATATTTAATAAATATGATTTCTCAAATACAGATATTCAGTTGCCTCTGATAGGATTTTAATGGGTAGATCTTATTAATAGTGAGTTTAAATCATTATAAAAGAAGATAATGTGATCTCATTTCAAACATATTCAAAAGTATAAAATTTGCAAAATATCAAACTTATATTCAACCGTGATACCATAAAGAGTTTATAATTGAAATATTAACAAAATGCTTTGCTAAAACATGGACTTCTTTCCCTAAAAATCATAGTATGTGCTCCAAAAGAAGTCCCCAATTTTAAGGTATTTGTACAAAATTTTAGAGAAATTAACTGTTGCACACTGAATGCCAATTTCCTCTTTGTGGAGTAAAAAATACAGAAGGTAAAAAAAAAAAGAAAAGAAAAGAAAAACAAAATATTCTTTTTACATAAACTTATGCAGCAAGAACATTTTCTATAGTAAAGAATTATTAATACAATATCTGAATATAAATATGTATAATATTAATATATGTCCATTTCCAATAGAACATGTAAAATTATTTTGACATTTTCAAATTTTAAGTATTAAAAATAATGTTATTTAAAATGATTTTCAAATAATTAAGTTCTAAAGCATCCACAGTACCTGCACATCCTCTGCAGTCTGTAATACAGATCCTGTCCCTTCTATGTACCTCCCATAACTGAAAAATTAACACAAATATTATCTAATGTATTTGTTAATGCAAAATTTCTTAAATATTTCCTGAATAAATTAATCAATCTACATAATTCTATCCTTCTGTAATATTCTGATATCATCATATACATAGGCTTAATGATTTAAAAATAACTGGATGAGAGATATAAGATGATTTTATTTAAGCTTCTCAGGCACTAAATTTGGCAGTATTTTGAGTTGTGTAAATACTCTTTTGAATTATGTATTATCAATTGCCATTTCTTTGTATTGTCATTTTTAAAATGTTTGTCACTTATAAGTATGAACTTGTTCCAATTTTATATCTAAATACTATTCAAATTTATATCCCTTCTACTTTAAACCAAATGTTAGGCAGGTAAAAATAAATTGCTGCTCTTTTTATAATGCCAGACTATCATTTCTTCTCATGAACACAAGGTCCTACTCTCCAGTATCATGACGAACATGGCCCACTCAATATGTATCTGCCTCTTACTGTAACGCAGTACTTTTTTACTCTTTTCATACAAAAATGAGACTACTGCAAGGAACTAGTAATATTTCTTCCCCTAAGATCATTGCCAAGCTGTTTGTTCAATATATTATCATTATTATTTTTCCTAATAGATCAATTTAAAGTATAAATTAAAGAAAGTCACAGCATGGAAAAATTGTTCTCAAATTGTTTTCTCACATATTATATATGTATATTTGTATTATCCACTCTAAAACAACCTTTTACAGTAAGGCTTCTTTTATATCATTTTTATAGCTACAAAAAAATTCAAGGATATTTTTTATTATAAAATTGATGTCTTCTTTTATTAGAATACTAAAAAAAAACCTATTGGACTTGGAAATAGACAGCAGCTGAGTGAAGTCTTTTTAGGTAATGAAAAGCAATAAACCTGTTGTCCTGAAAGTACAGGGGCAAATTATGATGAAATCAGAATGAATCTGGTATGACTATATCATGAACATAGTGTCTTGTGCAGGACAGCTAGCTAGTAAGTAAAAAGAGAAGACTACGTATCAAATGAAGTTGAATAGCATTAATAAAGCTGAATCAAGGATCTTTCACATTTTCTGGAAAGACCTACATTTTACTTCTTTTTAGGTTTTAAAATATTGGTGAAAATATATATTAACATTCAAGAAATAACCCAAAGGTAACCAGTAAAAAAAAATTAAGATATACCCATAAAACGAGAATAGAAAAGTTCTTTATGTACTTATATGCAATAGTATCCAATTTATATTGTGCAAAAAAAAAGGGGGGGCACATGTGTAAAAATAGATATGATATATTACTACTTTTTAAAGGAGGGGGCAAAATATACATGTGTATTTAAATGCACCTTCACACATGATACCTCTGGAAGATTAGACCGTAAACTGAAATCACTGGTTACGTGTAGTGAGGAAAACTGAATGGACAAGACACAGAGTAGAAGGGAGTCTTAAAATGTTAGTGCCTTTTGTAATTTGAACTAGGAGAATTTATTATTACTTAAAAAACAGAATAAAATTTAAAATGTACTCTAACATGAGCCAGATTATTCAATTTTGTATTTTGATACTAAAATTTAATTTCTTCTTATATATTGATCATGAGAGAAAACATAAACTTTTGAGGTCTGATGTAGCATAAAATGAAAGGTGCTAAAAAATTAGTAATTTACCCCATATATAAACCATATTTTAAGCTCCCATGGAGGTCACTAAACAAATGGCATTGTCTTTTACGAGCACTTTTATGGGTTGAGTACACATTGTTCTGCCAGAAGGAATTTTCACTCAGGTATTCTATTGGAACATGAAAGCAGGCAATTAAGGGTGGGGAAAAAATTCTAGCAGAAACATTTTATAAAATGCTCCTTGTTTTGAGAAGAACTAAAAGAGACAACAGTATAAAAACCTGGTTATTTTGGATATCCCATGAATATACTCTCTTTAAAACCTACCCTTTTGTAAAGCACATGGACCTTCTGCAAGTGGGCTTAACAATGTCAAACAAAAGAGCATAACGCAGCAATGACTTTGGTGGTAAAAAGTATTGATTCATGTCAATATCATCTTCAAGAAAATCTTTTAGCATTTGTACAGAGAGATCACTGTCCTGTTGATACTTCCGGTCAATTTCCTCTGCAGTTTCAAGTTTAAAAAGAATGGCTTCTTTTCCTAAACACTGTCTGCTGCTATCAAAGCAAACATTTGGTTCAACTTTCTTTTCTTCAATTTTATTTACTGCATCTTTTGCATGTTGTTGAGGATGTTCAGATTCCATTTTGGGAAACTCCATCAGTACCTGGCATTAAACAAAATGATACATATTTTCCAAAGCTTTATTAAAAATAAAATAAATTAATAATATCCAGTCAACATTATGCAAAAATTATTTTAGCCTTTATAAAATTGTCATTTGAAAGATAAAAACTGTGGTTTATTTGTATTTATACAAATTATCACAAGTTATTCTTCATATAGGTATAGTATCATCTGACTGCAGATTATTCATTTCATTAATAAAAATATCCAACAAAGTAACAGGAAATACGTTGAATAAATGTAGAGTATCATATCTTTGAAAAAAGTTTAGAAGCAACATTAACATTTCTAGAAAATGTACTTTGGATTTGAGTTTGATATCTACTTCATCAAAAAAGAAAACTGGAACAGAACCATAATCTAAAGGAAAACTAGTAACTAAAAAAAGAAAAGCACTTTTCACCCTGAAAGGTTATTTCTACTCCTGAGTCCCATAGGAAAAACTTGTTCCTGCAAAACATGTAACCTTGTATAATGTCCTATTTTTCAAAACAAACAAAGTTCCAGGAATTTTTAATGAAGTCTTTGTTAAAATGCTTTATACATTCTTTTTGGAATTGCCCACTAAGGGAAGGGAGATATATTGATACTGTACCGCAGGGGACTAAAATGACACTATTGAGCCCCTGTTAGTAGGACATGACTTTTAAGTTCTCACCTGTGATAGTTATGGAGAGCTTCACTGAACCACTGAAACTATATTATTCAGACCAATTGCTGAGAGAAGGATGTATAACTACTTGAATAATCAGATATTCTATCTATAGCAACTAAACATTTTATTCTAGTTTGTACTACTCATTACTACATTTTAATCAATTAAAGCTAAATAGCATTGACTTCCATGAAAACAGAACCAATGGATTTTGTTGAGGGAAAAAAGGGTAACTGCACTAATGGTAATTTTTTAAACTTTTAATTCATGTTTTTTTCTAATGATGAAAGAAAATTTTTATTTTGTTTAAGGCAATAAATGTGTCACCAGGAGAAGAAAAGGCTTAGGGCAGTGGTCGGCAAACCGCGGCTCGCGAGCCACATCTGTCCCTTTGGCCCCTTGAGTGTGGCTCTTCCACAAAATACCACAGCCTGGGCGAGTCTATTTTGAAGAAGTGGTGTTAAAAGAAGTTTAAGTTTAAAAAATTTTGGCTCTCAAAAGAAATTTCAATGTTTGTACTGTTGATATTTGGCTCTGTGACTAATGAGTTTGCTGACCACTGGCCTAGGGGATAGACCCATGCATGGTTTATTATAGATGCAATGAGATACATAGAAGCCTCTGCAAAGTAGTTCCTGAAATAAATGAGCAGACTGAATATATTTACAATATATACACACACACACACACACACACACACACACACACACACACATATATATGATGATGATAACAACCATTATAATAATACCTGACCAGGGGCTTGAAAAGGTAATGGCTCTGCCTGAAGCTTTGCAATAAGGAAATACCGTAGCCTTGAATTTGGAATGCCAAGCTGGAAATGAAAGAGATCTCTATCAACTGTTAGCACCTAGCAAAGAAGTTCATACAGGTATACATTTAGCCTCTGCCATAAAAAATTATAATATGTTACTGAGGTGTGAAAGACTACTTTGCATTATCCTTAAACCCTTTAAACTGCTGCTTTGTACATTTATTTGAATTAAATAAAGATTGAATCTGATAAATCATATGTCTATGGGTCACTTTAATTTTATATTTTTATATAAGAAGTTATATAGACATTTTTACATTCATTGATAATATAGTAACTATAAAATATAGTTATTCTTGGGTATTTGTTACCTCATTTTATTAAAAAAATAATTTACTAAATTTTAAAGTTAAAAAGCAATAAATATTAAAATTAGAGATTAGATAGATTTTCAATTTTCACATCTAACTTTTTTATTGGTATTCATTTCTTTTTAAGTTTAAAGTGTAATATTGGTTTACACAGTCCATAAATAACAGTTCGCCTGCAAAGCAAATGTTCATTCAATAAAGATTTATTGAATAAATGAGCAAACTGAAAGGAGTAAGATGGATAAAGGTTACAATTCCCTTATTAACTACTGCATCTATTTTTCCCCTTGCTATTTGGGTTGACTATGGAGTAATTTACGATAAACCCTGGTCCAAAGAGAAGTCATTGTGAATGATAAGACTTTTTAATGTACTTGCTTTGTAATCTTAGGATACACTTAAATTCAATAAGAGCAACAGAAAATGAAAACAAAACCATGGACATCTAATTTTTGAAATGGGTTTTCTTTTAATATTTATTGCTTTTTAACTTTAAAATTTAGAAATAGAAGCACTGTTTGCATATTAATGAAATGTCCCAATAAAAGAAATTAAAATATTATGATATGTTCTTTTTTTTTTTTTTTATTCTGAAGCATTACTAAACTACAGCACACCCATTGTGGAAATACCATATAGCACATAATTTCAAAACACACTTATTTTTTCTGTGTGGAAAGAAAAATATATTCTCTATGAACCTCAAGTTATATATTTTTCATAAAATAAGTATAAATGAATATATAAGCCTGCACTATAGTCTTTAGAAAGTAAAACCCATGTCTGAAGTAATTTTAAGATTTACCTATAATATTATCCAAATATATCTATTCTTCTTACAGATTCAAATTATCTTTGAGAAAATTTATATGAGTTTATAACTGCGGTACCTACAGAGGTTGGTGATAATAGAAATTCTTGGTACTGAAAGCCACAATTTTCTATTGTTTTTATTAACAGGTCTCTGAAAAGACAAAAATAAATGGAAATGAAAATGAAATGCTTTCATTAAAGTTGGATCTTATATAGAATATTATACATAAAATTTCATTTTAACTGAAAACTGTTCCTACACTCAAGTTGTTTAGAAGGAGAGTGATCCTAGGTCTTCATTAAGTGCAGTATTTGAGAAATTACATTTCTCAAAAAAAGACAATGATAATTTCTATTTTAAATAAATACAGCTATCAAATAATTTATCCAAACTGATGAGTGATAGAATTGCTAAACCGAATGATGCTAAATTTGCTATGGGAAATGGAATTATCTGTAGTAAGTCAGATGGGAGAATACTGCTAAAGACAGCAGCTAAATAAAAAGTGTGCTTGCTTTCTCTCCAGCTGGGTTACCATCTGAAAGGGCCCCAATACATGGCTTTCTTCCTCTGTCTGATTGTGTGACAGAAAAAGCCTGTCCACAGGACCAATTCTTTTTTTCTTTTCTTTTTAAATTAAATTTATTGCGGTGACATGAGTTAATAAAATTATATAGGTTTCAAGTATACAATTCTATGATACATGATCCGTATGTTGCACTGTGTGTCCATCACCTAAAGTCAAGTCTCCTTCTGTCACCATATATTTGACCCCCTTTACCCTTTATTTCTCCCCCACACCGCCCTTCCCTCTGGTAACCACCAATCATACTGTTGTCCGTGTCTATGAGTTCTTATTTGCTTGCTTCGCTTATTTGTTCATGGTTACTTTCAGTTTTGTATTCCACATATGAGTGAAATCATATGGTTCTTAACCTTTTATGTCTGACTTACTTTACTTAACATGATATTCTAAAGATTCTTTAACAGATAACTGGATAAAGAAAATATGGTATACATACATAATGTAACACTACTCAACCATAGAAAAGATAAATACTGCCATTTATGACAATATAGATGGATCTTAAGGGCCAATTCTTACTAAAAACATATCTACTTCTAAAGAACTAAGCACCAATATAAGCAGCTAAAATTGAGAGATACCAATCTTATTAAAATAATTGCTCATTCTGGAAAATTTCGAACATCAGAATGGGAGAGAATCAGTTTAACTTAACTTTCCGATGCTTTTCAAAATCAATATTAATGAATAAAATATATAACATATAAAATGTCAGAATGTACATGTTTATTTTTTAAGGTCTTTATTTCACAACAGCTAAGATTAACACAAAACAAATACATGTTTTACCTTGCAGAAGATACTTCAAAACCTTTAACATTTTCTAAAAGAATATACTTCGGTAATGCTTGTAACCTAAAAAAAAATACAAAAAATACAAAAACAAAACTAATAGAATTCCAAAAATCTCATTGTTAAGAACAAAATAAAGAAATTCCTTATTTTTGGGAAATATGAGGTAAGCAATTTTCTGAACTCTCCTTTTTTTATATAAGAATTTCATAAGGGATGAATACAACTCATATTTTATTCATTTTCCCTATAATCATGGCACACCTGATAAAGTTAACATTTAAATTGTTAATTTCCATTGAGTTTATCTCAAAACATGGGTCCACACAGAGCCTCTGATGCAACTCAATGGCTGCCATTTACACAGGGCTAGCACAGGCTTCCAGCCATAAACAACAGCATTCACTAACATATGCTTCATCTGCATTAATACTATGAGCAAAGGCAACAGAGTTTAGCTATTAGGCTGTAATTCCCTGACACTCGCTGTAATGGCAACTGTGGAATCAGCAAACATTTGCAGTTATCTTATTATTCATGACAGAAGAAGATAAATGGCATGCACAGTATCTGCAGGCAGCATGTATAAACTACTAATCTCTATAAAATGTCCAACATCACATTCTGCCAGATCTACAGTTTTAAATTCAAGGTAAACTTGTACAGAAATCTTAAGGTTTTTACCTTGGGAGAATATTTAGAATATATAAGAAGCTATTCGTCCTTGGATCAGTCACATCACCTTGCAGACCAATTCTAAAGGGATTGAGAAAGCACAAGTAAGTTTATAAAAAATGTTATATAAAGATATCAATTCTCTTTTAAAAAGTCACAACCAAATGCATTAAAATTAATTGGTCTTCACAATAAATATGATCATCTGTGTTGCACAGAGGACAAAATGCACTTCTTTTTTTTTTTTTTTTTAAAGCCTTGCCTATCTAATAAACAAACTTAAAATTTATTTTTACAAAACAAAATGCCAAACAACTTACATGAGACAAAGAAGAAGAAAAAGCCAATGAAGAATAAAATCAATTCCTCTCCTAATATAGCTTGGATTGGGAAAGATACACACACACAATTGTTGATGGCACCATTTACTCTGTCCAGATGGGACAAAAGTTCCAATGAATGAGCTGGTTGGGTAGTAAGGCAACAAAGAGCTGAGAGCATTGATGTCTTATCACCATCTAAGCAGATCAGAATAGTTGCTAACAATAAAACAATCTCGTCCAATGTAAAAAGGAGAAAGTTAAGCTAAAGGCTTGATTCTATAAGCAGGAGTTGTAACTTGGTTACACTAATAAGATCAAAACATCACATAAACAGGCAGTCGTTGGACTAGCATTTATTTCTTACAAATAAGATTCAATATAATTATGTGACCATTATGCTATACACCTAAAACTAACCCTAATAAAAGAGTAATATGCAAATTGACCACACATTTGCCACACCCAAGCCACGCCCACCAGCCAATCAGGGAAAACATGTAAATTAACCCAACCAAGATGGCAGTTAATTTGCGTATCAAGATAGCGTAGAAAGACGCCAAGTGCTGCAGAAGGGAGCAAAGATGCGGAGAAACAAGCAAGCAGGGCAGCAGAGAAGGGTGAGCAGTTGGGAGCCAGCAGTCCTGGATTGTGAGAGGGATGTCCAAAGCCTGTTTAGGCCTGATCCCAATGGGCAGCTGGACATCCCTTGATGGGTTCCAGATTGGAGATGGTGCTAGCTGGGCAGGGACACACACCCCCATGCACAAATTTTGTGCACTAGGCCTCCAGTGTAAAATAATATAGAATGTCAATTATAATTAAAAACTTTTTTTAAAAAAGATTTAAATTATCAAACAGAAAGTAAGACTTGGATTGGGCCTCAGGTGTAGAAAGAGAGCACCTTACTACTTACCAGCTTCATAATCTTACATAAGTAACATAATATCATGCATCAGTTTCCTCATTCATACCTGACAGCAGGGCCAAAACCATCAATGAACTTGAGGATCCATGGTAAATTAGTGTACTTGAATAGATGACTCAGAAACCTTGGTCCTCTCATTCTGCCCTTTCCTTTCCGCATTCTAACTGGTGACAGTACTACAGAGTCAATTACTGCTGCCAGCAGCATAAGACCATATAATGGAGCTGAAAAATTACCTTCACCTAGAAACACTGTAACCATCATAACTACATATACAGTACAATGCATTGCTCACTTATTTGTGATGACACTGACATAAACAAACATACTGTGCTGCTGTCCTATGAAAGTATAGCACATATAATTATGTATAGTACATAATACTTGATAATGATAATAATCGACTATGTTGGTTAAATAATGGTTTATGTATTTACTATAATACATTTTTTATCATTATTTTAGGGAGTACTCTTCTACTTACTAAAATAAGTTTGCTATAAAATGGTATGCCAGATTACATTGGCAACAGACATATATTGTATATATACATATATATATATACACTATTGGCCTGATGCACGAAGATTCATTCAAGCATAGGCCTTCCTTCCCCACTATCCCACCGCCTTCACTCTGGCTGAAGCCACCTTTTTGCCTTCCTACGCTGCCCAGAGGTCCGGAGCGGCTGGGGCAGTGTAGCTCAGCACCTGCGTATGCAAATTAACCCACCATCTTTGTTGGTTAATTTGCATACCCACTCCTGATTGGCTGGTGGGTGTGATGAAGGTATAGTCAATTTGCATCTTACTTTTTTATTAGTGTAGATACTAGGGGCCCAGTGCACAAATTTGAAAGGAACTGTGGGCCATGAGGCTGTGGTGGGCATAGAGCAGGTCTTGGCCCATACTCCATACTCTACCCACCCCCTCCCACTGCGGGTCGCAGTCCTCTTTCTGTCAGCAGCCCCACTCCTGCCACCACCGCTTCCACATGCTGATGGCACTGGCCCCACTCGCACCTGCTGATGGCGCAGAGCAATTGGGGACAGTGCCATCAGTGGGTGCGAGTGGTGGCTGCTGCCTCAATCACTTCTCAGGAATGGAGGGGGCATGGAGAAGCTCTCAGGGGCAATCAGGACTGGCAACCACCACTCACACTCACTGATGGTGCTGAGCAATTGTGACCAGTTCCAGGTACGGACAGCAGGTGCGAGAGGCAGATGCCAGCCCCTATCACCCCTCTGGAGCAGCAGGAGGTAGAGAAGCCCTGAGGGGTGATTGAAGCTGGAGGCCACCCCTTGCACCCACTGACAGTGCTGAGCAATCAGGTCCAGCGCTGGGTATGAGTGGCAGCTCGGGCGCTGGCAGTAGATGCGAGCCCTGGGCAGAACCGCAGCATGAAGGAATAAAGAATTTTCAGTAACCACCAGAGGCTCCTCCTGATGACTGTGACTGGCGCCCCACCTTGGTCTGGTGCCCCACTCACCTCCTCCACTATCCCACCATGGCCGACAGCCACCATGTTCCGCACTTTGCCACCTGCTGCTGGTGCCTACCATGTCCCGCGAGCACTCCCTGGGCATCACCAGTTGTTCAGTTGTTTGGTTGTTCTGCTGCTTGGTCAATTTGCATATTAGGATTTTATATATATATATATTATATATATGTGTGTGTGTGTGTGTGTGTGTGTGTAAAATATATACATACATATATACATATATTGTATATATGTAATTTTTGCCATGTCTTTAATATCATTTTGTCTTATTTGATTTAATCTCATGTTGTTGCATAAGTTCAGTGTATCCTAAGTGTACAGTGGATATAAAGCCTATAGTAGTGTACAATAATACCCTAGGTCTACACATTCACTCACATTTATTTATTGACTCACCCAGAACAATTTTCTGTCCTGCAAGTTCCATTCATGGTAAATACTCACACAGGTGTACCATTTTTTATCTTTCATACCAGATTTTTACTGTACCTTTTCTATGTTTATATATGTAAATACTACCATTGTGCTACAATTGCCTACAGCATTCTATATGGGAATATGCTGTACAGGGTTGTGGCCTGGGAGCAAGTCTATGCCATGTAGTCAGTCTAGCTATGTAGTAGGCAACACTGTCTAAGTTTATGTAGGTGCACCCTATCATGTTTGCCCGATGATGCAATTGACTATACTTTTCTCAGAATGTATCCCCATAGTTAAGTGGTGCATGATTATATCTTCTCAGGTAGGTATAGAAGAGCTCTGTCATAGTCACTGGATATCTACCACTGACCAAATTACTTTGCTCTTGTGGCAGTAATTGCTATTTCTTTAATAATTAATACTAAATTATAAATAAACTAAAAGTCCAGTGCACAAATTTGTGCACAGGTGGGGTTCGGCCGCCTGCCCTGATCAGGGTTGATTGGGCAAGCTGGTCAGTGGGAGGGGCCTCAGGCAGTTGGCAGGCTGGCCCCAGCCCCTGGTTGAACTCCCAGTCAAACTCCCGATCAAGGGGGTCAATTTGCATATTAGCCTTATACAGGATGAGTAGATAAAGGAAATTCTTTATAAAAAATTCAAAACTATAAAAATACAGCTGATATTATAGAATTCAAAGTATCCATACTAAAAACTATAGTATGATTTGATTTAATAAGTTCTTTAAAAGTTCTTTCTCAACAGAGAAATATTTATTATACATACCTTGTGAATGGCTGACAAGGAGGGCTCATTAAAATCATATTGAAAGATAATCTGTCAAACTCTTCTAATGTAATGCCCTAAGGATAGAACAATAAGAAAGAAATGTAAAAAAAAAAAAAAAAAAAAAAAAAAAAAAATGGGTAGAATGGGAAAGGAGAAAAATGCTAATTATAACTAAATATATCAAAAATTATACCAGTTAATAGTTTTAGTTACAATACTTAAAAATTTATATAATACAATACTTTTTAAATCAACTTCAGTAGACTAATTTTTCAAAGGAATCTTGTGATGGAACCAAAGTTATGAAAAATTAAGTGACTGTCCCAAGTCCCATTGCCAGCCAAAGCAGAGCTGTCACACTCCTTCCCTGATCCACAGCACCTCAAGTTTAACATTGTTGTATTTTCCAGAGTCAAACATGGAGAATTATATAACCAGTGATTTTCAGCCTAGGTTCTAAGAAATTTTTAAATACCTCTCTAACAATATTTTTTATTTTAGAAAATGTGATGTACTGACCAGTAGCCATCCCTTTCATGTATGTCTCTGTTAATATGCCACCAAATGGAAAAACATCCCATTTTTCAATTATGCACAATATTATATTGTTTTATAGGTGTATGTAAGCAAAGAACTTCAAAAGGTTGTAGATAAGATTAAGTGAAATAATCCCTACTAGACTAAATAGTTGGAAAATGTGTTATTTTGCTTCTGTTTTATATAGCAGAAGATAAAATATAGAGAACCATAAATCCATGGGTTTGACACTCATGAAGCCCTCTTAATGTGCACTCTTAATCAGAAATTTAAAGCGACAAGCCTAGAAACACAACATTCCTAATTATGACACATTTCTAAAAAGTTTAAGTATATAAATACAGCAGAAAAAACTTTATTCTGAATTCTGTAAAGACTGAGTTAACCAGTTGTCTCTATCGTATTAAAAGTTTAAATGTACATCAGATTTAAATTTAAGTGTACATCATATTTAAATCTCAGGCTTTTAAGTAGCTCAGGATATATGTGTAAAATGAAATTGAAATTACCGTATTTTTCGGACCATAAGACGCACCGGACCATAAGACGCACCAGTTTTTAGAGAAGGGAAATGAAGAAAAAAAGATTCTGAAACAAATAGTGTCCTAAAATATTTTATGTGCATTAAAACCCAACATCACAGTCATAAACACATGTAATCAACCCTGTAAAGTAAACAGCAGCATTTAGAACCATTTTAGAGCCGGGCAAGCACACAGAGAACACACAGAGCCGGGCAAGTAAAAAAACTTTTTTTTTAAAGTATATGTGTAGGCTATATTTGGACTATAAGACGCAGGGACTTTTCCCCCCCACTTCTGGGGGGAAAAAAGTGCGTCTTATGGTCCGAAAAATACGGTAAATACAAATGCTGAAGAAAATCATACAATGACCAGTCTGTCAGAAAACGAGGCAAGGCAATACAAGTAGATAATGGTGCCAGCACAGGGCCATGTGGCAAGCAACTTACAGATTTCACAACTAAAATGTGAATTAAAATGAAATTCTTAAAACTGAAGTAAAAATAAAATGTTTTATATCAGAAATATCCCATGTCTAGAATCTAGAGGAAGTAAACAGAGTTAATATGTCCAATACAGTAAGGCATGAAAAATTGCAATTTTAAAAGAATCTTGAAAATATGTAGTGATTTTTAAAAAAATTAATCCACAACGGAGGATATTTTTTCTATTGATTTTTCAGAGAGTGAAAAGGAGGGATGCGGAGAGAAAGAGAGAGAAACATCGATGTGAGAGAGACACAGTGATTGGTTGCCTATAGCATGTGCCTTGACTGGGGTCAGGGATCAAACCTGCAACCCAGGTATATGCACTTGGTGAGGAATTGAATCTGTGGCCTTTGGGTGCTCATGGCTGACACTCCAACCACTGATCCACATCAGCCACCAGTGATTTTTTATAGTGCAATTCAAATGATAGAGCAGTTATACAAAAAATAACTCACACTTTTCACAACTTTATTTAACCTGGTATTCTAAATCAATAAATGTGTTGGGATTCAAGTAATGGAAATACACAAATTATTTTTAATACAGTTAACCCTTGAACAATATGGGTATGAACTGTATGGGTCCACTTATTCATGAATTTTTTAGAAGAAATACCTGTACTATTTCCAAATTATAGCTGGGAGTCCACAGATGTGGAGGGCTGACCATATGCATTGATCTACAACAGCAATTTTCAACCTTTTTCATCTCTCGTGGTACATGAAAAATAATTACTAAAATTCTGCAGCCCACCAAATAATATAGTTTTTGCTGATATGACAAAAAATAAATATAATTCCAACTCATTCCTACCAAGATTGAATGGGGGAACACAGGAGGGAGGAAAAAGGGTTGAACATGGATTTTTGATGCACAGGGGTCGGTGCTGGTGCCCCTGCTCCCATGTTGTTCAAGAGCCAACTGTAATTTGACTTTTTATTTTCAAATCCTCACCTGAAGATGTTTTTAATGATTTGAGAGAGAGAGAAAGAGAAACACTGAGGTGAAAGAGAAACATTCATCATCCATTGATTGCCTCCCGTATGCTAACCAGGGATTGAAACCGAAACGTAGGTATGTGCCGTGACCAGGAATTCTACCTGTAACCCTTTGGTGTATGGGACAACACTCCTATCAACGAAGTCGCCCAGCCAGGGCTCTTTTTTGCCTCAGTGAGCCTCCCTTTGCCCCTCCCTCTCAGATCCCCTATGTGGCTTCAGTCCCAAGTTTTCATGGTGCCCATGCCCTCTAACGGCTGCACCTCACATCTGTCTGAGGCTGTTTCCTCCCCGTACCCCCATCCTGTCCTGGAGGAATGCATGCTCAGTAGGACAGGGGTGCTGGCTCCCTGCTGCTCTGAGAGCACCTGGGCGTGCCTAGGACAGGGTGGGTGCCCAGCCAGTGATACGGGGTGAGTAACAGTGTTAGGTGTAAAGGCCATTGGAAGGCAGACTCAGTTGGAGCCAAGGGCCGGTGAGCTCTCCGCTCAGAGCTCTCCGCTCAGAGCTCAGGGCAGGGCCGTGGTAGTGAGTTGTTCCTTTTCTCACAAGAAGGTGGGAGGAAGAGAATGAAAAAAGAGGAGTGTGTGTTTTCCCTCAACTACTTAAAAGCTGATGATCTCATTCCATTCTTAAAGCTATGAATAGAAACCCTTAGTTCAACCCTGTGAGGTGGGTTCTGGGATTATCTGAGATTCCGTGGAGAACACAAGGCCTTCACCTGGCACAAGGACAGTGCTTAGTGACCGCCAGCTTTTAGTGCTGCGATTCGTGCACTGGTGGGGGGCAGCCTGTAGGGGGCAACCTGCAGGGATCAGCCCGCTGGGAAAGCCCCGTGCACTGACCACCAGGGAGCGGCTCCTGCGTTGAGTGTCTGGTCGAATGGTCATTCTGGTCGTTCCATCATTCAGACACTGGGCTTTATTATATAGGGTAACTTATCAGTGAATTAAGATAATAGTATCTTGCAGTGTTTTTCAATCACATTCTCCTAGCTGTATGCTTATTAAAACAATAATAATAGCTACTCACTTCAATTGTCTTGGCTAATAACTGTGTTTGAGGAAAATTATATTTGTATACTTCATTAGCAACATCGTTCACATCAATGGCAGCCACCACATGTGCAGGTATACCGCTTTCTGTAATGAGAAATGGAATAGCTTAAAATGTAAAGTCCTTAACATCAACTTTTTCATTACAGAGAAGTCAAAATAAAGAAATGTAATACATTTCCTCACTTCTTCAATTATCTAGTTCAGTGATTTTCAACAACTGTGCCACAAGAATTTTTAAAACATGCAATATCTGGCTATTTAATCAGGGGCATTGATTCTTTTTCCTTAGATTGTCAAATAAAAAAATGACAACAATTAACACAACAGCTGTCCAGTGTGAATGAATCAAAATTATACCTATTTTTTTTGTCAGATTGGCAAAAAATATATTACAAAGAAAAATAATTACAAAGGCATACCTTCAACTGTCTTGCTGCTAAAAAAAAAAAAAAAAAAAAAAAAAAAAAAAAAAAAAAGCATGTTGAAAATGCTTTCAGATTCAGAAAATTTTACCATAGTCTTTAAATGGCAATCAAAATTTGAACTATGTAAGAGTAGCTGCTGTTATATTTTTCAATTGCCATCCTTTATGCCCAAAACACACTATGTGTTTACCCTGTTCCAAGTTAAGGGAAAAATTGGAGGGTTTTAAAAATAATAGTACCTAAGACCTCTTAGAAAAACCATTAGGGAAAATACAAAAGTACATAATAGCTTCAAATAGCCATTTCTTTAATACCCATTTGCTGTTAATAGCTTAGATAGCCCAAGTATCAAAAAATAATTAAATAAATAAATAGGATGTGAGTAGCTAGGGTTCATGAAGTAGGTATCTATAGTAATAATCTATAATAATAAAAGTGTAATTGCTAATTAGACTGGATGATTTTCTGTGTCCTGGGTGTGGGGCGAGGCTGAGGAAGTTAGGGGTGATCAGGCAAATAGGCAGAGGTGTTTAGGGGCAATCAGGCAAGCAGGCAGGTAAGTGGTTAGGAGCCAGCAGTCCCAGATTTTGAGAGGCAGTTGGACATCTTCTGAGGGATTCCGGATTGGAGAGAGTGCAGGCCAAGCTGAGAGACCCCATTCCTCCCATGCATGAATTTCATGCACCAGGCCTCTAGTAGTATATAAATGCTAAGGAGGATTCCAAAGAATAATTGTATATGCTTGGGAAACACAAAATGTATTGTGCTAAAAATAGCACAGGAGCTATTAGTATATTTAATAGTAAGTAAAAAATAGTATGGGAACAATTGTTGTACTTAATGAGGAGGCTGAGTAGAGAAAGACAAGTGCCATATAATTTCACTTACATGTAGAATCTAATCAACAAAATAAACTAACAGTGTGAAAACAGACTCATGGATATAGAGAAGAAACTGACATCTATCAGAGGGGCCGGGTTTCGGGCCTAGGTGAGAAGGATGAAGGGATTAAGCAATGAAGAAAAAAAAAAAAAGGAAGACGCATGACACAGACAACAGTATGGTGATTGCCAGTGGGGAGCAGGGTGTGGGGGGAGGTAGAAGAAGGCAAAGGGAGGATTACTCATGATGGAAGGAGACTTGAGGTGATGAACACACAGTACATTCAAATGATGCATTGTAGAGTTGAATACCTGAAACTTGTATAATTTTATTAACCAATGTCACCTTAATCAATGCAATAAATAGCCGAAACCGGTTTGGCTCACTGGTTGAGTGTCGGTCAGCGGACTGAAGGGTCCTGGGTTCGATTCTGGTCAAGGGCATGTACATTGGTTGCGGGCATATCCCCGGTGGGGGGGGTGCAGGAGGCAGCTGGTCGATGTTTCTCTCTCATCAATGTTTCTAGCTCTCTATCTCTCTCCCTTCCTCTCTGTAAGAAAATCATTTTAAAAAAATTAAAAAAAAAATAAATAAATAAACAGGCTGGTTACAAAGATATGATAGCCAGCAACTTACTCTATGTAAGCAAAGTATGTTAGAAAATATAATAGAATAAAGTTTCTATGTATAGTAACAACATAAGAGTTATAAACACCAAGAAATAAACCTTACAAGAAGACTGCATGACCCACATGGGAGTAAAAGAGATTTGAAAAACGGAAACACACTGTGGTATTGAATATTATAATTCAGGTTAAGAATTAACCATTATAAGAACTCAGAATTAAATAAACTTCACTGAACAATTTAATTGTTTTGATAAATAAAAAGATGTAATTTGCAATATATGCAACAAACTGAAAGTACCTGGAGTTGGTTAATACAATTATTTAAGCAAGCAAGAATCACACACACACAAGTGCGCGCGCGCGCACACATACACACACACACACACACACACACACACACACACAGCATTTAAATAGCAATAATGTTCCCTCTTTTTCTGATCACTCTTTCTGGAAAAGTTGTGGGGAAAGAGCCACTGCTTAGTAGTAGTGAAAAGGTATATTTCTTTTCTTCTTTGCCTTCTTTATAATTTATTTTCTGATCTACATCTCATATAGGTGAGTGATTATTTGAATTGCCTCCTTAAAAGCACACCTGAGATATCTAATCAGGTATGTTAACACTGACATCTAGTTGTGAAATGGAAGATCAAATGAATACATCCAATGTCTGTTTCCTTTCATTTAAAGTAATAGCTTCAATAAGAATAAAAGTACTAAGTAAAACAAGACCTGCAAGGACTCTAAATTTAAAGTCATTGCCAAACATTTTATCACTAATAGCAAAGTACATTTCTTGTTTTGTTTTGAATATTTTTGCATTTCAAAAATCACAAATTATTTCTGTAAAATAAAATGAAAAATAAGTGAAAAAAATTTTTTTTGATCCTTAGAAGTTTAACTAGTAGTCAACCAAAACCAATTTATTTTGGGTTAAGACATACGCAGGGGAGGGGAACATCTGGCCGTGGTCCATACAAGGCCTCAAAATCATTTGGTCTGGCCCTGCCAAGGTATTAGGGGTGAGTTAATTAAATGCTTGACCAAATAGAGCAAGCTAATTTTTAGGTTGATATTTTGTATGGCCCGCAAATGATGTTATAAATATCCAATGGCCTTTCCCCATCCCTGTCTTTATTGTTTTATTATTTTTAAATATATTTTTATTGATTTCAGAGATGAAGGGAGAGGGAGATACAAAAACATCAATGAGAGAGAAGCACTGATTTGCTGCTGCCAACACACCCCTTACTGGGGATCAAGCCTTACAACCCGGCCATGTGCCCTTGACAGAAATCAAAGCCAGGACCCTTCAGAGATTCTATCCACTGAGCAACACCAGCTAGGACCCCACTCCTGCTTTTAGATCATTGCTACATAAATCTGACTAAATATAATGGCCCATCAATCAGAAAGTGGATGGAACTGTTTGAGATTTGTGTACAGACTGCACATGAGGAAGTGAGGTGCTAAATTAATGTTTTAAAAAAGGCACATTGAGGGAGTTCATTTGGAAAGGAAATAAAGATGCTATGACAGATGCTATAAAGAGAAAAGGAGGAAATGAATCTTGAAGAGGACCTTGGGGAAAAAAAATTAAGCTGTAAGAAATTTTTCCAGTGAGTCTCTAGAAAAGTCCACTTAAAATGATGTTGGTATACTGAGGTAGTTCATACAGCTACTGCTTTCCTTATTTCTCTCTTCCTCTTTTCCTCCCTTGCATTCACTTTCTTGTCATACCTTAAGCTTCCCTGTGCAGAAGCAAAGCAAGAAAAAAGCAGTTTGGTAGAGGCCACACAATCCTGCACAACCCTGCATCATACTTAGCCTTGGGCACGCAGGAAGCCTCAATTTCCAAGGACAAAATCTGGTTCCTAAAGGAAAGTTTAATAGGCAGTTGAAATTAGAGTTAACTTGAAACTCTATAACTGTTTTATTCCTCAGTGATGAACTGTAATGATGAAAATGTTGTGTATCTGTGCTGTGCAATATGATAGTCACTAGCCATATGTGATTACTAAGTGCTTAAAATGTGGCTAGTGCAACTAAGGAACTGATTTTTTCATTTCATTTAATTTTAATTAATTTAAATCCCCATAGCTACATATGGTTGTGGCTACCATACCGGACAGCACAGCTCTCTCTATACTCATTGGTATTGCTTTCATCAGTTGTTCTGCATAGAAAGCCTTATATAGAGTGGGTATCATGCCATGACAACCTATGGAGTCAGAGAACTCATGTTCAAATTCTGGATCTGACACTTATTAGTTACGTAGCCCCTAAGCCTCAATTTCCTATCAATGAAGTGGACATACAGTATTTTTCTGTGTATAAGATGCTGTTTTTTGTTGTTTTTTTTTTTTCTAAAATCGTTAGACTGAAAATCAAGAGGCATCTTATACAAGGAAGTCAGCAGAGGAGGGAGCAGCACAGGTGCATAGCTGCCCATACCTTGTCAAACAGGCCCCCTCCAATCACAAGCCTCATTGTTACTGATGTCAGCTGAAGCTGTAATTGGAGGTGGAGATGGAGAGTGTACAGATGCAATAGGGCCCAGAGCCTTCTGAGCCCATAAATACGTCAAAAAAATAAAAAAGACAAATACCAGTAAGCAATTGTCTTACTCTGCAAAATTCAACCTGGATGTGATCAGCCATGCAAAAGAGCATGGAAATAGAGCTGCGGAGAGACAGTTTGGACCTCTTCCTACTGAATGTATGATCAGACAGTGAAGAAAACAGGAAGAACAACTCCTTAAGATGCCAAAAAAGAAGGCCTTAAGAAGAAAACCAACAAAATTGGCAAATTGGAGGAGACTTGGATTATGGAGCAGCACCAGAGTGGCTCATGAGTATCAACCAAGCTTATTCAATCTCAGGCAAGAATGTTTGCAAACAAAATGAACATTGCTGATTTTACAGGAAAGGCAAAATGGTGCTTTAAATTCATGAAGAAAGAAGGGTTGGCCATGAGAACATAAAAAAAGTTAGCTCAGAAAATGCCACCAGGTTTTGAGCATGATCTCACATACATAGACAGTGATTCAGAAGACAGCAGTGATTCAATAGAAGTTGAAGAAATTGATATGTCTGGAACTAACAGTGATGAAGAAGAGAACAGTGATGCAACAGAGGCTGAATAAACT